GAGAGAGAGAGAGAGAGAGAGAGAGAGAGAGAGAGAGAGAGAGAGGATGAACCCAATTATTTTTCTTATTTCTTTTTTTTTTTCGTTTTTTTTTCCCGTTTTTTTCGTCCACTTCACATGGACGTTCGGGATGCCTGCGCCCGGTAGTCCCAGCCTCGGCACGGATCGACATACCGTTCGGCCGAGGCTCGGACTCGATAGCTGGGCCAGGTACTGGTGGTTTAATGAGGTTGTACACACTCTAGCACCATCTTAAATGTATCTGACCGCATTTACGGCCATACCTGGATATATCTGGCTGCAATTACATCCAGAATAGGTAAAGAAGTTCTAGTTTGAGTATGACCTGAATAACTTCAAAAAAAAGGAAAAACATACACTGTGTGCATGAGCATACACACTGTGTGAGTATGGCTGGACAGTGAATCAAGAAACTCCCTATGTTGTTACTGATGGATGGCCCGGTGCTACGTCTTGCATGCCTTCCCCATCACCGCCCTCCTCGTTGACCACCTCCACCTCTCCCTCCTACTCCAGCGGGTCCAGCGTCCCTATATGCTATACCCATACCATATTACAACCAACCACGACCCTGCATGCTGTACCAGCAGCTACGCTACCACAGAAAGTGCCCAATCTCCTACTGAATGTGGTATTAGTTGGTCTCCCGGTGTATGTACGCCTCAGAGTCCGAGATTGACTGCATACGATGCTGATGGCTGGTTCTTGTCGTTCCTCTGCACGGGGTGTCTCCTTCTTTGATGATGGCATGGGCCATGCTTGTGGTCCGTCGCTATCCTTGCTTACTGCTGCTTCTGTCTTCTATCCTGGCCAGGACTTCAGCTGAGGCTGCAGCGCAGGAGTAACTCTCAGTAGAGTGATCAGGAGGGATGTTGGGGTTTTGCCAGGTGGCCAAGGAAGGGCAGTGGAGGTGGGGGGGTTACTGAGGGCGGGTCATTTGGAAGTGGAGGCAGTTGGCCTCAGTTGGCAGTGTGGGGGGACGGGGTGTAACAGGATGGTGGAGGGGGGGGGGGGGGGGGGGGGGGGGGGGGGGGGGGGGGGGGGGGGGGGGGGGGGGGGGGGGGGAGTAGGCGGGAGTGGGGTATCTGCGAGTGGAGGGTCCCAGGTTGTCAGTGAAGGGGTGAGGGGAGGTGAGGGAAGGGGTGGGGTGTCAGGGAGTGGTGGAGGAGTGGGGGGGTTCTGGATTCCTCGTCCTTAGTTCAGCAGTTTTCAGGAATATTCCTGTTGTTCTCAGCTGAAGCCAGGTAATGGCCCTGGTTGTTCTGTACATTCTCAGCCGAAGCCGGGTAATGGGCCGGTTACCCCACTTTGCTCTGTGTATTTTCACAAGGGACACTGTGCCCGGTACCCATCACGTGCCCCTCCTTACGAATAGATGGGAGCATTCTTTTAAAAAAAAGAAAACAAAAAAAGAAACAGAAATCCCTGGTCAAAAAGGAAAAAAGGATCCCATAAAAAATTGATATTCTCCATAACCTTCTGACATTCTAGCCTTAGAGTGTTTGTATACAGTCTATCACTCCCTGGTAAGATTGTGTACTTGAGATCTCAACATGTGTGCAGCTTTGGGTCCTCCAAATTGCCCATTGCACCACCTGTTGTCCCAGCTGACTCCAGTTTTTTAGGAGGGGGGGGGAGAAACCTGGTTGGGAAGATGCCCTCAGAGTATAGCTCTCTCTTCCCATGGCCACTGGGGTTCTCCTGTTAGCCATTGTCAGACTCTGTCCCACGATTTCCCCATAAAACAACCCTAGGACAAAGACAAGAGTATATGTAACAGTTCTAATATCATTTGTCTAACTCTCCAGCAGGGAAAGACAGCCTGACAATCTTTTGCACCAGAAGAGTAAGGGCCTCGTTAGACACTCCAGCTCGTAAAATCTACAAGGACGTGATCATTCCACCTATCCTCGGGGAAGAAATTGGGAAAAAAATGTGAAAACATTTCCTCGAGGAATCCTTGTAGTGTCCTTGTGGCTCAGCCATTTCCTGGCCTAGTGCAATGGACCTCGCGAGGTCCCTCAGAGGTCAAGGATCCGTGATAATCGGAGCGGCGAAGGCACGCATCGTTGGCAACTTCCTTTTTTTAGTTGGTCCATTGGTGTCCTTCCAGAGGCTGCATGGACATCTTCAGGCCACGACGTGGGTTGTAGTGCAACGGGTAGCCAACGGTTACCATTGGTGGACGATCGTCATCGGGGTTCATCTTCAATTGAGCCTGATGTCGCCGTGCTTAGCTTGTGTTTCCCACCAGGTTCGGTGGGGTTCAACGGTTAGGAGAATTGATTTTTTTACCCGACCCCTCTCTTGCATGCCCACCCATGATTGCGACGGAAAACGTTGTGGTGCGTCTATTGTACGCTGTCCTATACCGTTTGCTCTCTTCACCATACCTCCACCGTCACCGTCGACTTACGGCCCTGTCGTACGTGTCGTTGATGGCCGACCTCTATCGAAGGCTGCCAGTGCTGCTCCTAGTTGCCATTTTGCTTGTTGTCATCCTTGTCTGCATCATCGGCAACGTGCCTAGGTGTACACGTAGGAGGCGGTCAGCGAAGAAGGCTGTCGAGATGGATGAACGTCGGGCGAAGAGCAGGGCGGTGGTCGAGTCCCCCAACACTCATCGTGCGCAGCGCGTCCTTGCACAAAGTGCACAGCCGTACGACCCGTCTGCATACGCGCACTTACCTCCACACAAAATTCCTCTGCCGCCGACGGACGACGAGGCGGAGCAGCTACCTTCACGCACCGTGGCACTCGGAGCGGGATTGACGCAAGATTGGGCAGGGAGCCAATTGTTTGAAAGTCGCCCAACGACATCTCGGCAGACGTATAGACAACTGTTGGAAGAAGGTATACACGACGAAGATGCACATGGTGGCGTCAATCTGTTGTTCAGATTGTCTAGCAGGAGCTCAAGACCGATGACATGTAGGCGCGTCATCAATCCGCACCCCGATGGCGATTGGGGTCAAGCGACGCTTGTCAAGCAATTTGGGGGGGGGGGGGCGTCCGTTGGATCGCCACCAGCAGAGAAGACGCGGGATCGACACCCACTGCAGTCGAAATCGACGTCGCCAACACGTCCCGCAAGCGTTCGTCCACAGTGGATGCAATCGCCGTCACCATTGTCGAGATGTCCATCCACAAAGCGGCGCAAGATTGGGGGTGGTGGGGACGAAGATTTGCCAGTTGTCGCGAATGAACAGAGTGGTCGACAGGTGTGGGCGGAACAACGGCAGCAGCTGCATCGAGATCATGGGGATGAAGGTTTGCCAGTTGTCGCAGATGAACAGAGTGGTCGACACGTGTAGGCGGAACAACGGCAGCGGCTGCGTCGAGATCGTGGAGACGCGATAACGAGGGGGGTTAAGTGGCTGAATGTCGGTGGAAAGGACGTAGAGAAGGATTATCCGGTGGTGGATGAGGACTGCGAAGACATTGACGAGGAAGACGAAGGCGACGCTGTAAACATTCAGCCATTGGGCAAGAAGTCCATGGGCGTTCAGGGGACAAGTAACAAGACTTCTGCCTCGCAGGGAAGACAGACCAAGAAATCATCAGTTGCGGGAAGTGATGGCGAAGGCGGTGTGGATGTTGAGGGCGGGAGGAACTTTTGGTCGCTCTCGTGAGGGCGAAACGGGATCAGGATGCGCACCTAGAGGGTATGGGGCACGCGTTTACCCGCATGAGGCCAAGGGAATGGAAGTGGCAGGATGTTCATGAGAGGTTGAAGAAGGTGGGCATTGCGGTGAGTGCTGACAACTGCGGGAAGAAATGGGACAACTTGATGCAGCAGTTCAAGAAGGTGCACAAGTTCATGCAGGAGTCCGGAAAACCAAACTACTTCCAACTGAAGGGCAAGGAAAGGAGATCACACAGCTTCAACTTGGTCATGGAGCGGGCAGTGTATGAGGAGATCAAGACGTCAACAGCGAAGAATCACACCATCCATCCGAAGAATGTTGCAAACACGGGCGCGTCAGGTGGTGTCTAAATGTCGTCCGGGTCGGGTGGAGGGCCGGAATCAGTTGGTGGTGGTGAGGCAGGCGGCGAGGCATAGGAAGAAGAGGAAGGGTCCACAAAAGGTTCTTCGTTCAACACTGGTAGCATTAGCAGGTTCTGCAAAAGGAAGAACATGAGGCAGCAGACATCGGAGGCTCTGACAAACGTGATGGAGAAGCATGGGATGCTAATGGCGCAACGTTGGTGTGCGCTAGCAAGAGGCAGTGGTCGATGATGATGCGGCACTGTGAGATCATGGGGTTGGAAGTGGACGTCCAAAAGAAACATTGCACGATGTCCGATGATGTGAGCAAGCTCATGTGCCACACCCTCATGGAAATAGCGAAGGCTATCCGCGAGAGACAGCCGCGTGTATGGTGCATGCACACGCGGAGACGTTGACCCTCTTGTCCCAACTTCCCCGATGACGTTTGCGCCGACCTCCTTGCCGATGACGTTCAGCATCCAGGCGACGGCCTTCGATGTCGCCATGTTGTTATTTGTGCATGTCTGTCTTGCTGAAGTCCTTGTGGACTAGAAGGAATGGCCACCTGAGTGCTGGCACGAAATTGGGAGTCCACTTTCGTTGCACATTGTTTACAAACTATTTGTTTTCCAAACACTTTTTTTTTGCTTTTTTTCTACAAAGTCCTACTTACGGAGTGCTGTGCACATCCTACTTTGAATTTCACAATGGCTGCTTAGCGCCGGAATGATTTATGGTTTCCTTATATGAATTTTATTGGGCGATGATGTCCATTGCTATTCACTTCTCTCTCTCTCTCTCTCTCTCTCTCTCTCTCTCTCTCTCTCTCTCTCTCTCTCTCTCTCTCTCTCTCTCTCTCTCTCTCTCTCTCTCT